AGTGTATATATTACACTATGCACTACACTATACACTACACTACTAAACACTACATTAATAAGCAGTGTATATTAGTGTATCGTGGTGTATAGTGTAATCTATAGTAGTGTATATATTGCACGATGCACTACACTACAATACATTACACTACACACTACACTATATTACACTATGCTACAATACATTACACTACACACTACACTACATCACGGGGTTGACCAAGGTATTGAAGTGGTCTGCAATAAGCCAAGTGCAGAAACTTCCGCTCAAGGAGATACAACGCAGCAAATGTTCACGATACATTCAAAAAAGATTCGTAGTTTTTTAGTTTTTAAAATCCTTTATATTAAGTTCGCTTGCTTGCGCGCTTACGACCGTGCAAATCTTTCGGTCGTTTTTTTTAACCCACTTCCCGTGATCCAATCGAGCTGACATTTTGCACACAGACTCATTGTGCGTGACAATTGATTTTCGTGAAACAAAATTCCAAAATTTTACACTGTTTAGGGAATTTTTTTAAAATAATTATTTACCAATTGCTTAATGCTGGCAGACAATCATCTGACCCATAGGTGGCAGCCATCTCAAGCCAGAGGACGAGAGGACTCTAGCCGCCCACGCATATAAAGGATTTGGAGTGAAAAACTTCGTTTTTACGGGTTAATTTTTTTTAGACGTCCAAATATGTTTAAATAATCTTCGGTGTGGGTTTCGCGAGGGTCACGATGAGGCCCCCTACTTGCCATATCGCACCGCTCAAGCGCCCTGGGTACAACAACAAAGCTGCACTGTGAATTTCTATGAAAGGTGCAAAGGGAAAATTGTAAAAAAAAAAAATTACGAATATTTTATTATTTCATAACCCAACACGTTCATTATGGTGTCGTTTCCCTCAGAAATGATGTTAGTTTCGCAAGTTCTCAATTTTTTTCACGGCTTTTAAGGCTCAAATATTTAAACGGCTTAACGTTAACTTGAACGCATCTGCAGAATTGTAACTTTACATTAAAATCGCACAAATGTTGCATTATTTTATAACCCAACGTGTTCATTGCGGTGTGGTTTCCCTCAGAAATGATGTTAGTTTCGCAAGTTCTCAATTTTTTTCACGGCTTTTAAGGCTCTCAAATATTTAAACGGCTTAACGTTAACTTGAACGCATCTGCAGAATTGTAACTTTACATTAAAATCGCACAAACTTTGCTTTATTTTTAAACCCAACGCGTTCATTGCGGTGTGGTTTCCCTCAGAAATGATGTTAGTTTCGTGAACGTAATTATTTAATAGCTTAACTTTTAGTTAACATATCTTCTGAATCTTAAATATTTAAAAAACTCACAAACGTTAAATTATTTAACAACAACCAACGCGTTCATTGCGGTGTGGTTTCCCTCAGAAATGATGTTAGTTTCGTAATATTTCAATTAAACAGATTAACGTTTACTTAACGTAACTATACAATTACATGTCACTACAGAATCGTAGCCTTACATTAAAATCGCACAAATGTTAACATTATTTTATAACCAACGCGTTCATTGCGGTGTGGTTTCCCTCAGAAATGATGTTAATTTCGTAATATTTCAATTTCAAAGATTAACGTTTTTATGTAACTGCAGAATCGTAGCCTAACATTAAAATCGCACAAATGTTAACATTATTTTATAACCAAAGTGTTCATTGCAGTGTGATTTCCCTCAGAAATGATGTTAGTTTCATAATTTTCAACTATTTATCAGCTTAACGTTCTACCGAATCGTAGATTTACCTTAAAATATCACGATTGTTTGAATTATTTATCACCAAAGTATTCGTTGGTGTGAGGATTCCCTCAAAAACGATGTTAGTTTTGTCATTTTTTACCAAAAATAACGCCCCTAAAATCTTAACATTTACGCCGCTTAAAACGCTCACCTGCTAAATTTTAAAGAATTCTTATCACCAACCTCCTCATTGCCGTGTGGTTTCCCTCGGTTATTGCCGTAATGTGTTGATTTAAATTAATGTATCTATCGATAGATCTACCACCTGCTTTAATCGAAACTTTAAAATGTACGGATGTTAAATGATTTTATAATCAACCTCACATAATGATAGTTTGGTCATTAGAGATAGACACTCAGAGATATAGACTCATAGAGACCCACAGAGACAGATAGACATAGACGACTCATAAGAGACCCACAGATATACATAGACATAGACCCATAGACCCCCAGAGACACATAGACCCACGTAGACAGTCTCATAGAGATACACAGAGACACATAGACATAGACCCATAGAGACAGAGAGACACAGAGACCCATTGACCCAAAGAGACACATAGACATAGACCCATAGACCCACGTAGACATAAACTCAGAGATACACAGAGACACATAGACAGACTCATACCCATAGAGACACAGAGACCCATTGACCCATTGACCCAAAGAGACACAGACCCATAGACCCACAGAGATACACACTTGCGGTCGAAAGACAAAAAGAAAAACAAATAAAGTGAAAGAGACCAAAGCGACACCACCACCATCACCACTCGCTGTTGGCGCCTGGAATGTGCACGCAACTTTGGATGGACGCGTCCGGATCAACAAGAAGCCGAGAGACGCACCGCCCTCGTGGGCAGAGAACGCGCCGGACACAACGTGGATGTTGCCGCCCTGAGCGAGACCTCGACTGGCCAAGACTGGGACAGGTGACCCCAAGTGGGTGCAGGTGACACATTCTTCTGGAGCGGACGAGGCCAGGAGGAGACACGCGATGCCGGTGTTGGTTTTGCAGTAAAAGAGAAACACCACCTGGTCAACCAACCCAAGGGTATAAAACGAGCGTTTAAATTTCCTGAAAGCTCCACCTATTGGGTAAAAAGCAGAGGTCGCAAACGGATTTCGATTCCTTACCCGTAACCGGCCGCACCAGGGTCGCAAACAGGTACCCGTACCCGGCCGTACCCGATACCCGGCTACCCGTACCCGGCCGGATATCGGGTAGGGTACGGGTACCCGATTGCGACCTCTGGGATGAAGCCACGTTGCAGGCGCGGGTGGGTTGATTCTAGGAACTTGAATTGTTAGAAGAGACAAGACGTTGGGAAATGAGTGAATCACGGTCTACCCGTACCCGGCCGCACCAGGGTCGCAAACAGGTACCCGTACCCTACCCAAAACCCGGCTACCCGTACCCGGCCGGATATCGGGTAGGGTAAGGGTATCCGATTGCGACCTCTGGGATGAAGCCACGTTGCAGGCGCGGGTGGGTTGATTCTAGGAACTTGAATTGTGAGAAGAGACAAGACGTTGGGAAATGAGTGACAAACGGTGACTCACCAGTGACTCACGGCCTACCCGTACCCGGCCGCACCAGGGTCGCAAACGGGAACCCGTACCCGGCCGGGTACAGGTAGCCGGGTATCTGGTAGGGTACGGGTATCGGGTACCCGTTTGCGACCCTCGTGCGGCCGGGTACGGGTAGGCCGTGAGTCACTGGTGAGTCACTGTTTGTCACTCATTTCCCAACGTCTTAAACCTGCTTGTAACTCAAGCTGGTCTATGGCCCACAACGCTCAAGAACTGCACCTCTCCTGAACGCGGATGGAACAACACTCCTCACAGAGAAGGACAAAATGCTTGCGAGGTGGACTGGACACTTCAGCGTAATCCTCAACCAGCCATCGTGCATACATGAGGAGGCAATGGCGAGACTGCCTCAAGTTGAAATAAAACAGTCCCTTGCCGTTCTACCATCCATTGAGGAAACCAGCGAAGCCATAATCCTCCTCTCTCATCAGGCAACGCTCCAGGGTCCGATGCCATTCCAGCGGAAATCTACAAGGCTGGAGGGGACCTCGCTTAGTCGAGAAGCTGACCGGCCTCTTCCAGTCTCTGTGGGAATTAGAAGCCGTTCCCCCAGGAGTTCAAGGATACTACTAACAGGTCCCTGCGGGGTGGGCTGGTAGGAACGAATAACCAAAGAATATAAACATAATGTATTATTACACTTGTTTAGCCAGGAAAGCCTCACTGAGTCTAAAGGTTTTTGTAGGGTCCTGCCAAGTGTTTGCAGTAGGGGGCGATGTTGCTACACCTAATCGGACGATACGAAGGGAGAGTTTGAGGCCTAGTTCTAGGCTTTAGGCCTAGCTGTAGGCTTTAGGCCGCTGTGAGTTAATTTTTAATTTAAATGTTTTAATTAAAAGCTATCTCAGGGAATTATAAGGGAATGTTACACTTGTTTAGCCAGGAAAGCGTCACTGAGTCTAAAGGTTTTTGTCGGGTCCTGCCAAGTGTTTGCAGTAGGGGGCGATGTTGCCACACCTAATCGGACATCGGACGGACGGACGATATAATCTATTGTAGGCTGGTTCACTTCGTTCCTACCAGTATAATCAATCTATATAAGAGGAAAGGCAATCGGCAGGACTGCGACAACCATAGGCATCTCTATACTATCAATCGCTGGCAAAATCTTGGCAAGAATCCTTCTGAACCGCCTAATCGTCCACCTAGGACCAGGGTCTGCTACCCGAGAGTCGGTGTGGTTTCAGAAAAAAACGCAGCACCACCGACATGGTATTCGCTGCCCGGCAGTTACAGGAGAAATGCCAAGAACAAAATGCTGATCTTGATACGGCTTTCGTCGATCTGCCAAAAGCATTCGACACGTTCAGCCGGCAGGGCCTTAGGAAGATCACAGGCAAGTATGGGGTGTCAGGACGAGTTCATTGGCATCGTGGGCAAACTCCACGATGGCACGATGGCCAACGTCAGAGACCAGAAAGAACTCTCCGATCCGATTCCCAATCACAAACGGGGTGAAGCAAGGCTGCGTTCTAGCACCATGGTGTCTTCTGCCACGCTGCAAGACTCGTTCCAGAACCACAGACCCTGGGATTAGCTTCATCTACCGTTTTGACGGTGGGCCATTCAATCGGCGGAGGATGCAAGCCAAAACTAGAGTGGAGGAGGAAGTCACCGTTTGAGAAGTTTTGTTTGCCGATGGCCGTGCTCTGGCTGCTGGCTCAGATAAAGATCTACAGGACGGTATGGACCACTTCTCCCCCTCAGCTTGTAACAACTTTGGCCTGACAAATCAGCACAAAGAAGACTGAAGTCCTGTACCAACCTGCTCCTGGGAAACTCTACACCGCGCCCAAGATCTTTGTGAATGGGCAAAAAGCTTTCGGCCGTTGACAAGTTGACTTACCTTGGTAGTACTCAGTCTCGGGCCGTGCACACAGATGATGAAGTTAACATCAAGGTTGTCAAGGCCAGTGCAGCCTTTGGACCAGAGGTCGCAACCGGGTACCCGATACCCGTACCCTACCCGATACCCGGCTACCCGTACCCGGCCGGGTAC